TCCCTCTCTGCCCTCAGTGCATCCCTTTCACTCTTGAGCTCTTTTAATAAAGAAGCGAGTGGCTGCGAATCTCCTCCAATTCTTTCGTAAACCCAATAAACCTTCTTCCATTGCTCCTCCTGAATCTTCCAGATGCGATATAGGTCAATAAACTGATGTTGACGATCGGGCCGACAATAGCCTGGTCCAAAACGAGTGGGTGTGACACAGCCACCTCTAGCGACCAAAACTCTTTCGAGGTTTCAAAGAAACTTTACGATTTACGCTTTGCGTGATCCTCACTATTGGGACACTGTACAACAACATCTTCTTTTATTAATATTTTATCATATCACCAAACCAAACAAATCCCAATGGATAACAGCACTTCACTCTACGCTAATCAACCGGGTCCGTCGAGCGCTCATTGGAAGGGCGATGAGGATGCAGAAAGTCAAGAAGTCATCATTATGGAGGATCTCGACCACCAATACCCTCCAGGAGCAAACCAACGAGCAGCGCGCTCCGCCAAGCCTCCAGTACGAACTCCGAAATCGGCAAGACTCAGGCGACGGCTTGATCCTACTGCCAGAAGACGAGCTTTGGATGACTATGGGTTCACTGGAAGAGATACAACATCGTTTCGACACGCTTTATTTCTTTTGCTCGAGCAACCCACTTCTTCCAGCAGTGCCTTTACCCTGCATCTCGTCACAAACACTATAATTGTGCTAAGGTAATGATATTCTATGAGCTGGAGAAACAGACGCTGATCAAGTTATTGGTTCTGTTCCCTAGTGCGTTCCTCACGATACTCGAAACCATACCGGCTTTCCACGCGGTCGACAGTTCATTATGGTTCGGATTGGAGACTGGAATTGTGGTTGTCTTCAGTGTAGAATACGGAGCAAGAAGTATTGGATGGGGATTCGGTGAGAGTAATGGTGGTTGGAAGAGATGGTGGAAGTGGGCTAGATGTACGTTTCCACTCACTCGACCCTATTTCCTATACTATTCATAATGCTCACGATGGATTATCTTATTAGCTTTCTTTGCTTTAGTCGACTTGATTGCCATCGTGCCATATTACGTGGAACTTGCGCTGCAAGCCGACACCACAGCCTTCTTTCGCTTTTCCATTTTGCGTGTATTCCGTCTACTCCGAGTATTCAGACCGTTCCGGTACTCTTCTACTATCTTGCTCACCATAGAGGTATGCCACACTCTCTCCATAATCACTCACCCCGATTGATGGGTTGCGCGCTAGGTGATGATCATCGCCATTCGGCGAAGTAAAGATGCCCTTTTGGCGCTGTCGTTCTTCATCACAATGGCACTTGTTGTCTTTTCTACTCTCCTCTATTTCACAGAGAGAGGTGTATGGGACGACTCGCTGGAAACCTTTGTCGATGCGGATGGTGTGAAGAGTCATTTCGAGAGCATCCCAGCTGCTGCTTGGTTTGTCCTCGTCAGTGAGTACTATTAGAGTCCACTTGTTAGAAGTTATACTCACGAGTCTTCTATAGCCATCACTACCGTAGGATATGGTGAAATCATACCGCGCTCCTTCTTTGGCCGACTTGTCACTGTCCCCCTACTTTTGTTCGGCTTGCTCCTCGTCGCCCTCCCTTCATTCGTATTGGGCCGAGAGTTTGCTGTGGTATGGGAAGAGATGAGTGCCGGGTATGTTGTATAGATCCTTTTGATGAATCGAGGCTAACACCATAATCTGCCAGTGTTTTGGATGGGATAGGTTTAGCCAGGAGCCCGCAAAGTCCTATTACACCTTACACAGGGCAAGAAGCCGAAATATATGGTGCCCTCCCAGATGATGAAGACGATGATAAAGCTCCTCTGACCGGCGGCAAAGGCAAAGGAAGAGCCGGGAATATCTTGTTTGATTCTGGGGAGCATGAGGCTGACCATACCGCAACAACTCGTAGCTATAGCCACGACGAGGAGAAAGGGGAGCCACATCCAGCAACGCCAGCAGCTGCATCCACCACTTCTAGTCACAAGTCGAGGAAGGAGAAAGAAAGGCAAGAACGTCAAGAAAGGAGAAAGAGAGTAGACTCAAACGCGGGTGCTGCTACGGACGCGTTCATGGGCATTACCGGGCATAAGCGGAACAGATCTCAAGTTGACTTGAACGCTGCTCTGGGAGGAGATTCGCAGCCACTCGCTTCTTTATTAAAAGAGCTCAAGAGTGAAAGGGATGCACTGAGGGCAGAGAGGGA